ANACATACATATACACACACACACATATATAATAATATATATATATATATATATATATATGTATGTATATATATATATATTAATATATACATGCGGCTATGTATACATTCTAATATACTTTTATTCGTATATATTGCAAATTATAGGCGGATAGGCTTGTATGGTTCTCACAGATCACCGGCATGCGGCTCACAGCCCGGGACGATGCTGAGCCGACCTTAAAGTTCGAGAACTTTGTGAACAACACTGTGCCTGTAATCAATCCCAGCGTTGTGCTATGTACAGGTGATATTACAAGAGGGTAAGTTGCCTTCAGCACATGCTACCGGCCATAAGTACAGGTTTGTTATAGGCGTAGTATTAAGATGGTGTATGTGGGTATATGCACGTGTCGGATATTGTATAGGTAAATTGTTGTGCCTGGATAACTATAGTACCCTTCGTATACACGCATGCCGTCTCATTTAATCCCAAACAGCCTAGGCTATCTCTATTTTATTTGTAATGTAGCTTTCTAGTGCAATTAAAGTAAAACTAGTGACCTCTGTGATCTTGGATCTCCGAGCTCTTTGAACAAAGCACGTATGGCGTGACGAGCTTTTACTACATAGCAGCAACGTATGCTCGTTGTCATGGTTACAGGCACAATCTTCTCTATCACTTGTTTTGGCTACACATATAAGGGAAGTTAATGGTACTATTTCGATGCGGTCAATCTCATAGTAAATATTTGCAAGACCACAAAGTGATATTGAGATATGTCATATGCAGGTACGGAAACAGTACTGGACTATTCGACCTTCAGGGGGAGCAAAACAAACAGGAATGGCAACTCTACAAACTGGTGTGTGCTACAGTAGTAATCCTATACGTATGTATTGAAACGTAGGTGCAAATGGGACTATATCTGTAGTATGCAATGGAGCCATGGCATTCTGCGCGATGGAAAATGTTGTGTGTCCGTTGCTGATGTGTTCACGCAGCCACTGCGCTTAACAATTACCTATCGAAAAAAATAGACATCTGACACATTGTGAGCTTATCTTGTCAGTTGTATGCTTTTTTCGTCAGGTGTGTGCTTATTTTGTCGGTGTGTGCTTATTTCGTCAGGTGTGTGCTTATTTTGTCAGGTGTGTGCTTATTTCGTCAGGTGTGTGCTTATTTTGTCAGGTGTGTGCTTATTTTGTTAGGTGTGTGCTTATTTTGTCAGGTGTGTGCTTGTCAGGTGTGTGCCTATTTTGTCGGGTGTATGTTTTATGCTTTCGCACGTGATCTCTGTCACGCCTCTTATGACACGTGCGCATGTCACCGTGTTCGATGTCAACCTTGACATACATACATACATAAATACAACGTATGCATATCACATACATATAAACAGCGTATGTATATCACATAAATACAACGTATGTATATCACATACATGCACAGACCCGTCCCCGATTTATAAGCATATCTGAACATCATATTAACTCGACTGGTTATAGGAAACACAGTTATCTCATCCATGTTATATATATATATATATATATATATATATATATATATATATTATTTAGTTTATTTATTTTAGTTTTAATTTATTT